AATCAACCATATTGATATAGCATGTCAGTAGTCAGCCATGGTGTTCAGCAAAACAAGCAGACAGAATAAGCATGGCTGTTTTCATTCTTCCTGGGCACCTCTACCCTTCTCTTCTGTTCTCCTTTGCACTTTCTCCTCTGACCTCAGCAGTTTGCAGCCCTGTTTCTCTTTTCCCTCAGTCTCCACCCGGTCCTCCATATCCTCCCATCCTGCCACTGAGTCTTCTCCACAGGAGCTGTACTTAACAGTAACCCAAGCAGGCTCTGGCTGACAGCCTGACTCTCCCTCCCCTGTCCCCTTAGCACTGCAGCATACTTCAGGTGAGGCATTGTGCCAAAGGGATGCATTTAGTGGCATCTGGACATTAGGACAATAACTGCTAGCTTGGTCTGGCACTCAAAAGATTTTCCAATCTAGTTATGTGATGCTGTTTCCAGATGGAGAAGGTCAGCATTCTTGAGGAAGGGTCACACTACAAGAGGCTAAATGACAAATGGCACTACAGAGCCAGTGGGTCACTGCCTGTGCTTACAGTAGCCTAGCCTGCCCCTGCAGAGGCAGCTTGCCCAAGGTGACTGCTTTAGAAGAACCACTGAGACTCACTTGTGTGTTCTCAGTGCCTTTTAGGAAAGGGAGCTGTCACACTGTGGTGCCTCAGTACAGCCAAAGTGGGGCTGAGGAAGGGAGGGACCTTGTGATTTCCACGTCAGGTTTCCATGTTCACTGTGGTTCTCTGCAAGGCACTTCAGTTGTGATTTCGCATTACGACGTGGCCAGTGGCAATACCAGCCTAAGTTACACCCATCTCCTGAGCAACATGGGACAGTGCCAACATCCATGTGTGTGGCAGCATACTCTGACCTGGATCAGGGGAAAATCTGGGGGATAGCAAGCTCTGTTCACCACTTAAAAGGAGACAGTGTGCAAACACATACACAGGGTTGGGTGTCCCACAGAGAGGGCATGACGGGCAGGAAGGAGATGCAGAAGTGATGGGGGTGGAAGAAGTGCTTTTATCTGGTGGTGTCTGTCAGTGTTGTACTGTGAAGCCACAGCCTTGACATTTCAACTCTTCTCTTCACCCCTTAGCCTGGTAAGTATTATTTTGTTAAACTGCTAAAACTTCTGTTTGCTAAGGCTGACCTGGGGAGCTGTGATATTCCTTCTGCTGCCTGCAAGCTTCTTACCCTTTCTGAGTGGAAACGGCAGTTGAAAACCAACCACAATTGAAAAGTGCTTAATAGCAATCAGCAGCAGGAGACTTTGAGCATTTGGGTTGAACTGCATGACAGTGCTTGCATGGAAGGAGTCCTATGGGTGAGGCTGAGATGGTCTGTAAAGCTGTGACACAGATGGACTGGCCATTGTCATCTATTTTGGCCAGTTTATGGAGCTGCTGTCTCCTTAGCAGAGATGTCTGTGAGAACACACTGGTAGCACAACAAATAGATTAGTGTAAGTCTCCTTTGGCTTAATACTGTCAGGCTATGGACAAGGAGCGTTCACAGAATCACAGTGTCTTCTTTTGCAAAGTGTGATGAACAGGCTAAGAACTTCTTAAACCCCTTCAGGGTCCATCACAAACACATGTCCCTTTTTATTCCTTGTTCTGAAGCATCACTGATGTGTCTGAACATCTCGCTTCTGCAGATCCTGCTCATCTCGGATTATTTCTATGCCTTCCTCCGGCGGGAGTACTACCTCGCTCATGGACTCCACTTGACAAGGCAAGATGGGACAGAGGCCATGCTTGTTTTGAAATAAGGATTGTACCCGCCATTCCCTGGGACATGCAAAGCTTGGGGTATGTGGGGTGGGTGGGGAAGGTTCCCTGAATGAGGTCTGACTTGGGGAATGATACCTACTGAAAGAAAGGGCTGAAGTTCTTCTGGGAATACCCTCCTGAGCTGTGGGCTCAGTGCAGAGACTGTAGGAGGTACAAGTAGGAGCTGCAGTGCCTCTGTTTGGAGCATCTCCCTTCCCTCAGCTGTGCTTTTCACTGCGACCTCAACCATCAACTCTGGGCAGTCCAGCACGAACTGGAGAAAGTGTCTTGAGCTAAAAGTGGGGCTGAATCTCTGGCCCAGAAAGAGCTCAGCCCATAAGCTGTTTAATTTATTATTACTGCTTCTTGGAGATGTTTGCTTCTCCTGGAAATTGCCCCCTGCTCCTGCTTGGCTCAAGGCAATTTCTGGATACCTGGTGCTTAAGCCCTGACTGCACATGCCATTTCTTGGTTCTCCTACTGTTGTGGGACCTGGAAAAATCACACGTGCTCAGGCACAGTGGGTGCTTGTGAAACAAATGGGTGACCAAGGATGAATGACCTGTTGAAAGGACAGCTAAAGCTGCTGCCTCAGGTAATAATCTTGGCGCTCAAACACTAGTAAGAACTGGAATTGAGGTGAAAGCAAGAGCAGGGTGGGCACCAGGTAACTGCTGGATCCCATTAAAGCAACGCAGACACTTTCATGTCAGGAGCTGCACAGAGGCATTACAGGGTCTCAGAAGAAGGAACACTACTGTGGAGGTGATGGATAGACTCCTGCTACTCCTCGTTTCTGTAGGGTAACAAAGCTTGGCAGTGCAGGGCTCACACTATACTGTTGTGATTGCTTGGGGAGGCAGCCTGGATGTGGAATGAGCAAGCTGCCTGCCTGGGCTAGAGACCAGGAGGTGTCAAAATCTCCCATTTAAGGCCCCAGACCAAATTCAGAAGGAGCCTCAGCCACTGCTGTTGTGAAGCTGTTGGGCTCCAGGTGTTCCACAGCCACTTAGCACTATGGGATATGTACTTCCCCATGTTAACCTCTTGCAGCTGTGCATGGGGGACTCCATTAAAGCACTAGCCCTTGGTTCCCCCATGGCTCCCTTCTGTCTGTGCTCAGACCTGCTCACTTCAGAGCTGCTGCCACTGCTGACCCTGTGAATGTGACCCACCGGGGCGAATCCACCAGGCTGGCTTCTTGCTCTGCCGGTTGTGTGGTGGCGCTGAGAAGCGGTAATCACAGTGTGAAAGCCTTCTCATTGGTGTTGGGGCAGCAGGCAGCCCGCTTCTCCACTGACCCCAAGAAAAATCCAAAGGGCTGGCAATGTGACAACATCGAAACCGAACTGCACCTGGTACAGAGCAACTGAGAGACCAATGTGCCCAGGCAATTGTGTAAACAGCTCTTCTTTCTTTCTGGACAATTAAAACTTTTGCCTTACTGCACTGCTATTAGCGTTTTGGTGGGGGATTGTTAATCCGAGCCCAGCTCAGCCCCCCGCGCTCAGCCACTCTGGCTGGGGCAGGCAGTGCAGCAGCCCTGTGCCTCCAGCCGTGGCGTGGGCACATGGAGGCAGGGCTGCTGGCTGTGTGGCATGTCAAGGAGCAAAATAAATGCAAGTTTTAAACCTCTCTTGTGTGGTCTGTGTTTGGGAGGGGGCTGAGAATGGGGGTCAGGACGGGACTAGAGG